ATGGCCTGTTTCAGCAAAATCTAATTTTAAGAGGAAAATAACAAATCTGGTCAGATTAATTCACACTAATGTGTAAAAAAAACAAAGCATTTTCTGTGGGACAGTTCCATCCAGGTGCCCTAATTTTTATTGTTTATTCTCCCCTTCCATTTCTAAACCTAGAGGTTGTCTAAATGTTTCAGATGTTTTCACATTGTTGCGTTCCACAGAGTAATCTTCAGTGACACTGGCAGTGAGGGCTAGGACAGCAAATTAGTTGTAAGTCAGAGGTCCACAGGGACCCAGTTTGGCTTGTAAACTACAAAATTATTATACAAATATGAGGATTTTGATTTGAATCTTTCAATTTTAAATTGTAATAAATGGGTAGTAAATATCTAATCTCTAGCATTTTAAAACCAGAACTCTTAACCTTTTCTTTCTTTCTTTTCTCTTTCTTCTTTCTTTCTTTCATTTATTGATTTCAGAGAGGAAGAGAGAGGGAGAGATAGTAACATCAGTGATGAGAGAGAATCATTGATCAGCTGCCTCCTGCACATCCCCTTCTGGGTATCGAGCCCACAACCCAGGCATGTGCCCTGACCAGGAATTGAGCCGTGACCTCCTGGTTCATAGGTTGACGCTCAACCACTGAGCACACAGGCCGGGCATGTTAACTGATTTCTGAGCATCACTGTACTGTGGAGCTTGCTGGTCACAGTGATGACACAGAGACTTGTCAGAAACCCAGGGCACCTTCTCAGCAAAGAGCTGTGGTTTTGTTCAGTTAGTACAGCGCCCTGAAGCGCTTGGCTTAAAAGGACTCAAGGACTCTCACACAGGGCGTGGATTCTCGTCTCCCCTCCCCTGTAAGTTACTCTGTGGCTTTAGGCAAACATTAACCGGGGTGGCACCTATGGTCTCTACTTGTTAAACAGGCTATGATTATAGTTTTTATATTCAATCTAATTTTCTGTTTCTTTAGAAATTCTTTAAAATTTTAATAATTGTCATTTAAGTATAAATGTAATTTAATAATACATTTATGACAGTTCTGGGTTAAACATGGGTTAACCATTCCTTCACCACTCCTAGTAATAGTTTTACTGTATTCATTATTCCTTACAAAAGTATTTACTACAGAAATTGGTCCCTAGTGTATGGAAAGCATAAATATATTTGAGAACTGTGTTTCCTGGCCCTTATAATACTTGGCCCCTTAAACGAACATAAATGTTATCAACCTAGCCGGGACGCCCTTCATGCTCCTCCACTTTAGGAATAAAAGTAGTGTAGTGCCTATGTCCTCTGACCTCAGTCTGCTACATAACCTTTTTAATCAGTAGCTATTTCTCTTTAATTTGTAAAATGAGAATAATAGTATGTTATTGAAGATTGTTAAGAGATAATAAGGTAATGCATATAAAGTAAGCTATTATCTATCATTACCCTGTACTTCACCAGGCACATAGATTTATTTAGCTTTATTTTCTGTGGTTTTAACTTAAAATTTTTTCAAAATATTAAATTGTTAATTTCTTTTTCAAAGTACCCATGCTTTCTCTATCCAACCCCCACTGAGAATCACATCTTTCTGAGAAACATACCAGCCCCAATGAAAGTCGGTCTTTGTTGCCATTGGGCCCATAAACCGTGAGTAACAAAGCTAATGTAATGTTTGAAATGTCCTTGTAATATCATCTAACAGGCTGGTTATAAGAAAAAATTATGGAAGAAGACGGCTGCAAGGAAAAAGCGCCTGAGGGAATTTGTGTTCTGCAATAAAACCCAGAGCAAACTCCTAGATAAGATGACGACGTCCTTCTGGAAGAGGCGAAACTGGTATGCTGACGATCCTTACCAGAAGTACCATGACCGAACGAACCTGAAAGTGTAGGTCAGAAGGGCTGCGATTCCCATTACTGGATACGCATCTGTGGGTATATGATGTCTTTGCAAAAATGAATGTAAGAGTTGATGTACTAACTGATATGGAAACATATATATAGAACCAACATTAAACTTACCAGAGTTTTAAAATGTAATGGCTTAAACATTCCCAGCTTTGTTCAGGGATAAAATTAGTGATTACTTTTAACAAGTGGTCATGGCTTAACTAGTTGTTCCAGTTAGGCTTATTTAGTTACAAAAAATCTCAGGTTAGGCCATAAAAAGACTCTAAAGCGAAAGAAAGTTCAAGCAGCGTGACCTCATTTTCAAGGCCGCCAGCCCACCCCCATCTCCCACCCAGAACTAAACCAGCTTGCAGCCTTGGGAAGAGCACAGATGCTCTGGGGAGCCTGGATTCGAGGCACCTCCAGGAGCTGAGCAGCAGGGAATGTGGGTCCTTAGGCTTGGGGTCTGCATATATGTGTTTCAGTTCTTTATAGATTGTAGGCTCCATTTTCTACTCACCAACTTGTCTGTCACAGCTTTTGCTCACTCTTAGTTTCTGCTTCTTTTCTACATCATGACCCTCAGCTCCTGTCTCTAATTGCCAAGAGCTCTTAACTGGCCAGCTTATCTTTTAACACCAGGTCTCATCTCCTGTCACAAACAGTGCAGGGATTGGCTGTTCTCAGGTCAGGAGCCCACCCTGACTCACTTGGCTGTGTTAGCAGTTCATGTGGAGCAAAAAGTAATTACGAGGACAGCTTCACTTAGAGGTGAGCATGGGAGGCAGCACATAGCTAGTATATTTACTAGGTTCACTGTGTTCACAGCAGTTCTTAGTTTATTGGGACAGTTTTTTTATAGAGAGAAGAGCAAATGAAATAGCCTATGAGTATGCCCATTCATGAAGCAGAAGTGGCTATACAAATGAAGATAGAAACTTTTACTCACAAGTTGAAAGATACTGTATTTTTTTAAATTTTTTTTTATTGATTTCAGAGAGGAAGGGAGAGGAAGCGAGAGAAACATCCATGATGAGAGAGAATCATAGCTCAGCCGCCTCCTGCACGCCCCCCACCGGGGACGGAGCCCAAACCTCGACCTCCTGGTTCTTAGGTCGATGCTCAACCCTTGAGCCTTGCGGGCAGGGCGATACTGTATTGTTTTTTAAAAATATATTTTATTGATTTTTTTTACAGAGAGGGAGGGAGAGGGATAGAGAGTTAGAAACATTGATCAGCTGCCTCCTGCACACCCCCTACTGGGGACGTGCCCGCAACTAAGGTACATGCCTTGATTGGAATCGAACCCGGGACCCTTCAGTCCCCAGGCTGACGCTCTATCCACTGAGCCAAACCAGTCAGGGCTATACTGTATTTTTAAAAAGTTAGTTTATCCACTTGATAGTTCATATTTTTAATTGTGAGGATAAACTTTTTCCAAAATTTTCCAAAGGTACACTAGAAGCTAAAAGGGAGAAGTCTTCTCAGTCATTTTAGAGATGATGCAAGAGATAAGCATTTCTCGTTTGGAGAGGGTCAGGGAAGAAGCATCGAGGAAAACACAGTTGACTGAGCAAAATCTAGGGCAGAGGTTCTCAGCTCTCCCATCAGAATCATCTGGAAAGAATTTTCAAACAATAGCACTTTGCCTGGTTGACAAACCATTATTTACTGCTTCAAATCCTTTAATAGTTGACGATAAAACGATCGTCCCCTATTGTTATTAAGGGGAAAGATAAACAAATTGAAATTCTGTGTCATGTCGTGCTAGGATCATTAGAGGAATACTTTGAAATAGTGTGTGTTCATTAAAAGGAAAAGGGGTGACAATCGAGTTCTAAACCTAGACGGCCAAGTGCGTCTGTTTATGGGACTAAGTCATAAAGGACAGACGTTTGGTCTGAGATGAGGTAAGAGCCTGACGCGTGGAATGGCATTCTGCTTGGATGGGCTTTCATTCCTCAGACTTCTGAGACGGCAGAAATCCACCACAGACCAGGCCTCCCGGCACTCCCCACCTCCTGGCTCCTGCTGCTGGTGGAGGGATGCAGGCTGTGCCTGAAGGAGCTGCGGGAGGCACTCCCCCCCCCCCCCCCCCCCTTTTTTTTGAACTCTTTATGAACCTATTATTATTTTTTTTTCTGCCGCTCTGCCACCTTGACTCCTGAGTGCACATGTGGACAAGGCTCTGTCACTGTGGCCTACAGCACTTTGGTTTCTCCTCTGGGCCTGGGACGGGAGAGACAAGGGTGCAGCAGGCCTCAGCATCCAGAGGGACAGGAAGGGAAGGGCCGGTGGTAAACGCTTTAGGGGAAAGGGGACTTTCATGTCTGTGATCTTTGTTCTGTGGGGGGTATAGGGATGGGCATGTTTCTACAAAGCTGCTAATCCTCATACCAACCTTGCAAGGAGATATTCTTCATCCCTAGTTTAGATTTGAGGACACCGAATCTTACAGAAGGTTAATAAGTAACCCAAAATACAACTAATAAGTCACTCAGAACCCAGGTTTAACTCCTTGGGACCCTGTGTATTTTCCTGAGTTTTCTAACAACATGAAAATTAGAACCTAAATCAGTAAGGGACTATAATCTAGCATTGTAAATACTAGATACTTCATGACACTGCACCATCAGTTCTTAAATTTTCTGTCACTTCTTAACCTGGTTGACATTGGACTTGGCCAGGGCTGCAGTGGTGCCAGGGTGGGCGTAGCCCCAGCGCGCCTCCACATGCACCACCCTCTGCCCTGCAGATGAGGACACAGGTTCCAAGAGGAAAACGACAGGCAAAAGTCTGCTCGCAGAATTAAACTGCCTTCCAGTTGAACTGGTACCTAGTTTCAGAGCTACCCGGTTTCTATGGCAACCTTTAAAAATGTAAAGCAAACAGACAACCAGATTTACATTCATGTGATCACCTGTTTTTCAAAACACTGGTGTCGTTTAATGTTCCTTGCAGCAGTTCTGTGCGGTGGGCTCAGGGCCAGGTCACCAGGCCCAGCCTGTTAGTGGCTGAGCGTTCAGCTTCTAATCCTTGTACCTTCCACCTTTGTTTTCTTTCACATTTTTTACAAGTATTTTCTCTTTCCTCATAAGCCCAACATTACAAAGGTATTTTTTTTTTAAAGAAAACTGTTAAGACTTTATTCAAGATATATACCAAGCATTATAACAAAACAGCAGAACGTCAGCCTTGGGAATCCTGGGACTTTACGCCCCTTGATGCACAGTCCAGTTTGCTGTTTTATTACAGAGCGTTCTTAGGGTCTACAGGACTAACTAGGGGAGTACGCACAGTCACAGGCCGGCACGGCAGCTGTCTGAGAACGAAGCTCACCCTTTACCGTTTCAAATACTGCGCGAGGGGAAGAATGAGGAAGGTGCTCAACGGTGGTCACTGTGGACAAGCACTGTTATCACAAACACAGACAGCCTCTGCAGAGAACACACATTTCAGGTCCAGCGAACGAGCAAGCTGTTCACACAGCCAGCAGGGATTATGACTAAACTCTCCAGTTTACAGGTACACTACCCACCACCTCCTCAGAAACAGATCAGGTGTTCAATGGCAACTAACCAAAAGTTATTACAGGAAAAGACAATTACAGACTTTTGAGCCAGCATTTTGTAAACAGCCTGTGTCTACCAGCAAATTAAAAACGTGTAGTTACATCCTCAGGACAACACCATGCCACTACATGTACACTTCGAGGCGTTCACATTGTATGTCAGTCCACACACCAACAGAACAGCTTGCTGAATAAGTAAACACATTTTGCCAGAAATAAGACAGCTCGTCTCAGTTGTACAATGAGTGTTTTTAAGAGAGAAACCAACTCCCTCATCAACACATGAAGGAAAAATAGTTACATTTACATTAAGACAGCAGTTTGGATAGCTTTGTATTTTTAAGTCTTGAAGGAGAAGTAATACAGCATGTCAGAGGAGAGCGCTTGGAACTTGTTTTTGGCATAGTCAAGTGCAAACTTGATCGTTTGTACTTGTTAAAACTGTCTATCGCAAAATAGTGAAAATCTAGCTTTGCTCCCATTAGAATTATAATCTCTGCTGCTACAGGCATTATTTGGGGGGGAGAAGGGGAAGCTGCGTAAGTGAAGCTTTTTATGTTCTTGTTTCTGATGATCCTGGGTACTCCCAACTGACAGATACATAGCAAGGCGTACATTTTTCCTCTGTCTGCAACTATTCAGTGAGCTTAAAGGAAACAGAGTTTCTGTCTTCCCTAAGCAGGTTTTAGTGGGGGTGAGGCACAGACAATGAAAAGACAGCTTCCGTTTTTCCTCTGAATTACAGACAAATTTGTTTTTAGGTTTATTTTCCTAAATCCTTTTTGTAAATTACAGTCACCCTCAGAGTAATTATGGGAAAAAGGTATTTAAATATGCATGTCTGATAACAGTCGACTTCAAGGAGAAGCCGCTGAGGGGGCTGGGATGTCGCAGTGTGTCATCAGGGAAGCCCGCTGATGCCATCCCACGGCTGGGGAATGAGCAGAACAGCCTCTAACTGGGGCCGCTGACAGCTGGCTGACGGGAAGGTCTATGTGGTAGGTAACACTAACTGTCTAGTCTTCAGGGCATATCTACGAACAAACACAATCCAAGAGTTATAAATAACAGGGTTGTAGCCACTGCATGCATCACACGGAAAGAAAACACCAGCTCCAAGCACAAATACACACCTGTGTTTTGGTTCAGCTCCAAGGGGAGAGCAGCTACCTCAGGCCAAAATACTATTTAATCCAGACCCGCCTTTTCTAACGAAGTTCCTCACTAAGGAGGGAGCCCCCTTGGATAGTGCGCTATTCTCCTACTAAGCCATCTGAGCTTGTATGAAATGCCCATAAGCCTGCGACTTCCCTCTCGTTCACACTGCACGAGCCAGAAGGGGAACAAGGGTGGAAGGAGCTGAGCAGCAATTCGCATCCATGAAGGTCTCGGCCTCTAACATCCCCCAGAACCCGGTGTGTGGGCTGTGACACGGTGCCTCAGTGTTTTATAGCACACACCTGAAAGCACGGTTCTAGTGTTGCATTGTTTGGCAGGTGGGGGTTTCTACTGTAGAAGAAGGCGCTCAGTGTAAGCCCCTCCGCCTGGGGAGGTTGGTCACAGCCAGGTTACCGTGGAGGAGAAATAGTCATTCATCAGGAAGTTTTGAAACATTCAAAATGATTCCTCACATGGGCTCTGAGTCTACATCCCCAAGGATTTTCCCACGGGTGAGCCACCTGCCTGAGGCAAATGGTAATTCCCGCCTCCCCCAAAGGATTCGAAGCTCCTCACCCTGAACCCAAGGGGAAGACGAGCTTCCTGTGACTTCTCTTACTCGGGCTGTGTCCCTGACCTCCCTGCTCCTCTCTCCCCGACATACGGACAAAACAACTGTCTGCGTACGGACCGGCGTCCGCAGGGAAAGGGACGCTGAACTGGAGTTTATTTGGACGCTTTCTAAGCACAATCTAAGATGTGCTCTGGAATCAGAAACATTTTTTAAACTTCTGTGTTTGTAGTTTTCTTACATTATCAGAACCTCTGGCAGCCCTGGCAATTCCATCATATGAAGCCAAAAGCCATAAATATGTACACTGTAGTCCAAAGTATTAGTACCAAGAACAAAAAAACAGTTTTAAAAAATGGCTTTGTTTGCATTTATAGGACTAAAAATGAAGTATGCAACAAATAAATTACAAATGTACATCTCAACAGGGAGGGGGATTCCCTTGTATTTCTACAAACACTGCTGGCTGTAATGACAGCCCAACTGTGGAAAATTACTAACCTTAGAAGACTTAGGGTCCCCCCCCCCCCCCAAACACTACCTGCCCTTTAGCCTTTCCCAGCAAAATAAAGACAAGGAGAAAACAATATCCTAAAAGGGGCGGGGAGAAAAGGCCATGTCTGAGGCTGCACACAGCACACCAGCTTGCAGACACCGTGTTGTTAGTGAATAGCTCTTTAAGGCAGAGGAGAAACGTTCCGTGTATCTGGTGCTGTTGGCTCGTCGCACTCATGTGGTTTCAGTGGCTGAGGATGAGGTACTTTTCTTCCTGAAGCGGGATCGAAGGAGTCTAGGCGGTGCCTGGCGAGGAAACAGAAAGAGGCATCTCACTGTGCATGAACGTGGACTTGTGCGGACAGCGCCTGGCTGGGCTGTGGTGAGACATCTAGTCCCCTTGGCCCAGGCTGGGCTGGGGGCTCAGAGCAGGACCGGAGCCCCTTTCCAGGCGTCACTGGGAGCTGCGTCCCCGGGAAGGCCAGGCCGCCCCCTCGTGCTCTCCCTGTCTCCCAAGCGAAGGATGACACATCTCTCTTGTTCCTGCCGCTGGAGCGAAATGACCTTAACGAGTGACTCAGCAGAGATCTCTGCCCCCTTTGTTATTTCCTCTGGAACCGCCCCATGTTTCTCCGTGCAGCCTGACATTCCCATCACCAGATGTCCAGCCCCTTTAATTCATGGCAAACCACACAGCAGAGTGAAACACTGTCTTTAAATGTAAAGAGTTTTCTCCCAGTCTAGCGCTCAAGGGGTTCACACCAGCTCTGCACTCACCTTTACCTGCACACACTGTCCTTCGCAGCTCTGCTTCCACCAGAAGCCCTGCTCCCTCTCCCTCTCCCTCTCCCTCTGGCTATTTCTGGTCCTCTGTACCGCCCAGCCCAAAAGTCACTCCTGAGCCCTCCCCCAGGCCCGTCACACCACGAGGATCACCACCTCCTTTGTTCTCACAGTGGCTCCTACATGAGAGGACAAGGGGGGCTCTGCACCCTGGGCAGGTGTGCTGCTCAGTCGTTCCCCGCCTTCGGGAGGGCAGGTCCTGTCAGGTTCCCAGTGCTGCTCCTGCCCAGCAGTCAGTGGGGTCAGGACCACCGCACCCTTACAGCAGCGAGCAACACAGTGGCCTGTTCAGCGAGTGATCTGCCTCAGGCTGCTGACCGGCAAAGCAGCTTGTGCAGCTTTAAAAAATAAAACCCTCGGGCCCTAGAAAGCGTTTGGCACCCTCCCCAAGAGTCCTCTCCGAGTCCTCTCCCATTTCGGGGCTGCCCAGGCCCTAAAGGACCCTTCGAGCGGTGTCCACACCCAGAACTCCTTTTACTAAAACCTCTACTTCAACATCGCCCCGAGGCCGCCTTGGAGAGGAGTCTGCTGACTGCAGTCCTAGTGTGAATGGGGCCCACCCCCCTGGTGTTTGTGTAGGGGAACCTTCCAGTGCATTTCCTCATCTGGGCCTCACGGACCGGGACCCCCAGCTGCCTCCGACGGACTCTCAGGCCGCAGTACCAGCAGATGGGGAATAGGAGAGGCAACAAGAGGGGCTGAGAGGAAGACTGGGGACCCCCAATTCTGCCAGGCCTGCGCCAGGGCCCAAGGCTCAGAGCAAGGCCCATGAGGCTCCAGGCTTGGCCCTCCTGCCAAAGTCCATCCACACCTACAGCTGCCAACAGCACAAATACCAAGTGTACCGCTTTTGGTTATTTGAAAGCGCTGTGTCCCTTTAATAACACTTTATGAATATCTACTTTGTACCAGGCACTCTGCTGTATTTTGGAGATACAGTGATAAATAAGCTAATATAAAACCTTGTCAAATAACATGTTCTGCGTTTTTCTTCCCCCCAAATACTCATTTGGATTGCTTTTCACTTACATAGGTTTATTTTGAAAATATAAACCCATTTAAAAAACTTTGGACACTATATCCCACCTCCAATTAAATTGCTAGGGTCTTTTCTGCCCCTTGGCAAATAACTGGATGCTGCCTAGTGCCAGCCGCCTGTCGAAGGGAGGGAGATCCTTCCGCCCCAGGCGCTCGGCAACGCTGGGTGCCCCAGGAGACGCTTCCAGGACACCCAGGTCTCCCGGGCGACGCCCTTGCACACACACACGCTCCCCGAGCCCAGACTGCTGTGTACCTCCAGGGGGATCTCCGTCTTTCGAAGTGTCTTATACTTGTACATGAAATCCAGCAGGTCTTCCTCCTCCTCGTCGGAAAAGGCCAACGGGTTTTGGACCTGGTGGGGCTCCCAGGCCTTCACACCACCCTCAGCCACATCTCCCTCAACCACTTAATGTCCATTTACAATCTACACAGAGGAGACAAAGTGAGCGAGGAGGGTCAGTGTGGAAAGGAGCAGGGAGGGCAGCCGGGGCAAGGTTAGCACACAGCACGAAGAGTCAGCCTGTTAGCTCAATCCTCCCCCACTGAAGCAGCTCCAGCGTCCTCTGGGGGTCCCGCGGGGGCCGGATGGTGAGGGTGCAGCTGCGACTGACCACACACTGTGCACAGGAACAGGCACAGGTTCAGAATCAACCGATGAGCTACCAACGGGATGGGCACTGCTTCCCTGGGAGAAGAAAGACGCTGCTTAACTGGGACGTGTCATCCCCTGCAGCTTAGACCTGACACCAGAAGGATGCTGTGGAGACAGTGCCCCCTCTGAAAAGGAGAGGCAGTACTTTCGAGAGGGGAGTAGCACAGCCTTCTCCGTTCTACAGCAATGCTGACAGTGCATGTCGGGCTCCAAGTGAGAGAGATATATATAATTGATTTCAGAGAGGAAAGAGGGAGAGAGAGATGGAAACATCAGTGATGAGAGAGACTCATTGATCGGCTGCCTCTGCACACTCCCCACTGGGGATTGAGCCTACACCCGAGGCATGTACCCTGACTGGGAATCCAACTGTAACCTCCTGGTTCACAGGCTGACGCTCAACCACTGGGCGACGCCGGCCGGGCTCCAAGTGTTCTTTAAGGAACAGCATGTGAAATGCCGGGAAGCCTCACCGTGAAGCTTAAGCAAAGCTATGCAGATGTTTACCTCCAAGGCCAAGTCCTATAGAAGCAAAGGAGAACCTAGTAGTAGCCTTCACCTCAAGTCATCGGCCGCGACGCCTCCTCAGAGAGAGCCCCCGCATTAGCCCACGTCACGGAGTGCACAGCGTTTTTTAAACATTCAAGGCTGAGCATGTTCCATGCCATTGGCCAGATAGTGCATCTTAGTCCAGATGCCCATACCCAGCCTCTGTGGCATCCACAGGCACATCTTTCTGTACTTTGTCTATTGCTTTTACCTATAATCACAAAATGCAAAGACGGGGGGCTCTCAATCATCCTGCCCACTGCCCTGAGGCCAGCAGATAGAAACCTAGCGCTTTTCCTCCTCCTCCTCCTCCTCAAAAACGACTACACCCTACTCCTGCTCCTAAAAACACAGTCAGCCACAAATGTGTTCTCTCCATCAAAAGGGGACTCGCCAGACTACAAAGCACCAGGTGTGGGTTAAGGAAAACTAACAACTGAACCCTAAATGTGAGCAGCTTCCCCAACTATTGCTGCAGTACTCGATGTAGCCAGCAGGTGGCAGCACGAGAACACAGTTGTCTTACCCGCCTACTCAGCAGCACTTTCATCATGGCCCAGCCTTGAGATCATTAAGATTCCTTTTATTTCTTTGCTCTGTGTCCCCCAGCCTGTTTTCTCTGGGTTTAAGTTATTCTCTGGTCCCTTCCCCTGCCCAGGTCAGCTGCACCCTTCGGAGTGTTGAACCCTCCCTGAACACTCTGGCCCTCCCGGCCCTCTCCTCCCCCTCACCCTGACAGCGCTTGGAGTCCGTACTACGGGAGGTGGCAGTCGGGCCTGGAGCCCCCGGCTGGGGCCGCTGGAAAGGGCAGGGGTTCCCTGGGATTCTCACAGCAGGGCAACGGGCTGACATCCGTATTATCAGAGATGTCTGCGGGGCTACCGCAGACTGGGAAGCAGCTCCTCCTCTGTGGACAGCGTGAGGGCAGGAGGGAGACACTGGCAGGCTCCCAGCCCTTAAAGGCCCAGCAGACCCATCAGCACCAAGCCCTGGGCACCCTGACCCAGCAGACAGCGGACAAGCCCCGGGTTAGCCAACACCCACACACGGCAAACATGTGAGGAGCACGCCCGCCTGGAACACTTACATCCGCATCCAACAGACACCGAGGGGAGAGAAAAGAACATCGTGTGAGGGCAGGTCCTAGAGATGGAACTCACACACCGTGCAGCATGCACGCACACCCCCGCATGCACACACTCCCCCCACGTCTCGCCCTCGGACCGCTCCGCTGAGCCAGAGGAGACCTGTCCACCAGTGTACACTCAGCAAGACACCTCCCCACCCTCCACCCCATGGAGGACGGAAAGAGGGGTGACTGCTTTGGAAAACGGCGTTTCACACACTCGATTAAAAACAAAATCCATCTCTCTACTCATTCCCAGCAGCACTAGAGCTCAGTTCTATATTACACCACGGGAGGCAGAGAGGAAGGGAGGTAGGGACAGGGAAAGGGAACCGAAACAGACAGACAAAGATGAAGAAAACGATAGGGAATCGGCTGCCAGAGGGGCAGGAATGGAGCAGAGGGGTAAATGTTCTCCTGTAACCTGAGAAGCAAATGAAAATCAGTTCTGGGGACCAGGAGGGCCCTCTGACCAGAGTACCTGTGACCCGCTGAACTCTCCCATGGTTGTCAGGCCCGAGATCCACCAGCCGTGTGCTGGCAGCAGCTGGATGCAGCCCCCCTTCCTCCCTCTCTCTCCTCCCTCCTTCATTCATTCTCACCCTCCTGCCCTCCCTTTGAGATGTCACTGACAGACGACATTATTGGTTTCAGGTGTATGACTTAATAATTATACACGTAGCCCTCCCCGTTCTGATGTGGATCAGGAGCCCCCAGGGGACAGGTGGCCGGTCAGAGTCGTAGCCAGGGCAGGCAGGTGGTCTCCCTTTGCCCTGCTCATCACTCCTCTGTCAGTTCACATTGGGCTTATGGCCTCCTGAACCCCCAAGTCTTCCTCAACCTTGAAAATTCTTGGCATTGAGAAGCCTCAAAATGAAGAAATACAGCACAAAGGGCTCTTCTTATAGCGTAGCTTCACATCCTCCTACTCACCACCGACATGGGAGGATGTGCCAGCCTCAGCAGCATGGGGCTGGCGCACAGGCGGTAACGGGCACTGTGCCCCTCACACTGCAGGCACCTGATGGCCAGTGGGGGGAAGGGAGCCGGGGGGCCAGGCACCACTGCTAGGCCCTGAGCTGTCCCGTTGGGGTCAAGGAAACAGTGGGAGCAGGTAAGGGCAGCAACGTGGCCAACTGCAGAGTGGCCATGGCCCCACCCAGTGGCCACACAGAGGACAGCAGCAGGCCCAGGGGACCCAGACTTCTTCCCTCCCCGCCCCCCACCCCCCAGGTTTCCTAGCTGCTCCGTGTTACAGCCATTATCATCCCCACCATCATCATCCCCACCACCATCATCCCCATCACCATCATCATCCCCACCATCATCACCACTATCATCATCCCCACCATCACCACTACCACCACCGTCATCCCCACCATCATCATCCCCACCACTGCCGTCATCACCACCACCGTCACCCCACCACCGTCATCCCCACCATCATCACCATCACCCCTGCAAACTCCCTTCACACCACTCTCGCAGCAGCACATGACAGGGGGGGATCTTCATCTCCATTTGAAGCTGAGGGAGCAAGGCCCAGCGTGGTCAGGTGACTCACACGCGGTCACACAGCTAGTAAGTGGCAAAGCGGGACCAGGGCTCCCTCGGTGGCAGCAGGACCAAAGCCCGGCCTGCAGGACTTCGTCACAGGGAGGGCTGGTGAGTTCCCGAGTCCTCCTCCCGGAGCTCAGGGAAGCACGACCCTGTGCTGGTTTGAAAACAGCCCCACACACTCTTGGACAGGCCTCCCTTCAGGACGTGAAGATTAACTCCCTCCCCTTGAGTGTGGGCTGAACCTACGGGCTCACTTCCAACCAACAGAACAAGGCAGAATGGTGACGTGCAACTTCCAAGACTGGGTCCTAACAGGTGTGGTGACTTCCTGCATCCACTCATTCATTCTCTCTCTCTCCCTCTCCCCCGCCCCCAGTCACTCTGGGGAAGGCACTAGCTGCCATGCTGTAAGGACACTCAAGCTGCCTAGACAGGCCCGTGTGGTAAGGACTGAGGCCGCCATCCTGTAAGGGGATCCTCGAGCCTATCTGGCCTTCAGGTGACGGCAGCCCTGGCCGACATCCTACTACAACTCAGAGACCCTGAGCCACAACTGCTAGTGAAGCCGCAGACACCGTAAGCTAACGCAGGTTTGCTGTTTTAAGGAGTTAGCCTCCTAACCCCTCCCCGCAGACCATGCAGTTGTAAGGGAGCCGGGTCAGGTGCCAGCGTGAGGTTAGAGCCTCCTCCCGCGGCGAGGGCAGCGCACGCAGACGGGCTGCTTACTCACCTTTCCTGGTCCTGCAGGTGGAGCAGCAGGTGCACACTGTGGGGATGGGGCACCATCAGTGATAACCCCACTGACAGGAACCGCCCAGGCACACAGGGAGGCCCCAGGGAAGTGTGGGATGCCACTGTGTTCAATATCGGGGTCCCAGGGATGTGGGTCTCTGTAGAGACACCACGGCAGGGGAGGGGATCATTCCAGATGCAGCTTCCTCTCAGGTTATGAACCCAGCAGCTGGAAAATGCCCTTGCCCAGCCCACACAGGTTAGTTCTTGTATCCGGCAGCCGTAGGGAAGGCAGGGGCTGGGGTCAAAATTCCCTCTGGGAAGTAACTCCACCCAGAAGCCCCTCCTTTCTACACCTTCCAGGGCAGAGTGACCTCTATGAAACCTCAGCCCGACCTCTGACCACCCCAAATGCTTGTGTCTGGCCATTTGTTCGAAGGCCTAATTTGCTGCTTTGCACACTCCACTGGTTTTGGTGTACACCCAGGCCTTGATATATAGCAGGTGCTCACTAAATACATGCTGAGTGACTCCATGTTCACGGAAAGCAAGGATCATCCTTTCAGCTCCTCTGTACCCTTCGCAGGCTCCAGTGTCTTTCAACAGATGGTGCCCGACAAAACACCTCCCAGTTCATTCTCTAAGGTGGGCAATGTGTTCTTGCAAACTCCATATTGTTCTTTTGCACATTGGGCATATGTTTTTATTTTACACTAGAGGCCCGGTGCACAAAATTTGTGAACTCGAGGAGTCCTTCAGCCCGGCCTACACCCTCTCGCAGTCCGGGAGCCCTCGGGGGATGTCTGACTGACAGCTTAGGCCCACTCCCCCCGCCCCCCTCCCCCGGGAGCGGGCCTAAGCCGGCAGTCAGACATCCTTAGCGCTGCCACGGAGGCTGGAGAGACTCCCACTACCACCGCTGCACTCGCCAGCCGTGAGCCCGGCTTCTGGCTGAGCAGCACTCCCCCTGTGGGAGTGCACTGACCACCAGGGGACAGTTCCTGCATTAAGTGTCTGCCCCCGGTGGTCATTGTGCTTCATAGCGACCTGTTGTTCTACCATTACACTAGAGGCCCGGTGCACAAAATTTGTGAACTCGAGGAGTCCTTCAGCCCGGCCTACACCCTCTCGCAGTCCGGGAGCCCTCGGGGGATGTCTGACTGACAGCTTAGGCCCACTCCCCCCGCCCCCCTCCCCCGGGCGCGGGCCTAAGCCGGCAGTCAGACATCCTTAGCGCTGCCACGGAGGCTGGAGAGACTCCCACTACCACCGCTGCACTCGCCAGCCGTGAGCCTCGCTTCTGGCTGAGCAGCACTCCCCCTGTGGGAGTGCACTGACCACCAGGGGACAGTTCCTGCATTAAGTGTCTGCCCCCGGTGGTCATTGTGCTTCATAGCGACCTGTTGTTCTACCATTATGTCCATTTGCATATTAGCCTTTTATTATACAGGATGGCTTGTTAAATAAGATCTTATTCTGTTTTATATTTTTCACTAGGCATCATGTTCTCAGGATCAAACAGTATGCACACTGGAACTGTTGGCTGCACACAACTGTCTTCTCCCAGGTTGCCTTAACTCCTGCTACCGTCCAGGGTTTGCAAATTACTTGTTTGCTCTCCCTACAGCCCTAAGACATAGGCTGAACAGGGATTGTGACCTTTCACTGGTGGAGAAAACTTAAGATTGGGCTCATCTTCTGTGCGGAGGTCAAATCTGGCAGCGACCTCCTGGGCTATCACTCCGAGAAAGGCCCAGGGGAACACGTGTGGCGACCCTTGGTGACATCTCGCTGTGCTGCCTGCACAGGTCAGTGTCGCCCGGCCAGGATGGCAGCCCAGACTCGGGCCTTTTTCCTACCGGACCACGCCCGTGTCCAAGGCCCACATGGGGGCTGGGAAGGCACACCAGCCTGTGGGGCTGGGCCTTCTTTGCCAGACTTCCTCCTAGGCACCCCACCCCTCAACTCAGGGGTGATGATGGCCCCAGATTGGGGCGCCTTTGCCCCAGGCTCAGGCCTTGGGCCATCTTTCACCTTGTCTTTCTTTCTGAGATAACTTTTGTTTTAGCTCCCAGAAGAGCTGGGAAGAAGGCCACGTGGCCTTTGTCCTCCCTGCTGGCCCAGCACCTGCACTCTCTGCCCCTGAGACACAGGTGCCCAGGTCCAGGGCGGGCAGTGTGGAGAGCTGGGCCGCGCTGCAGCACAGGGGGTCTGGGTTCTCCACGGAGCGCCGCCTGCGTGGCCTGCAGCCAGGGCACTCCCCACTGCCTCCCGGGAGGTGTCAGAGCAGGTCACTGCAGTGGAGGGCGGGGCCAACACCAACACAAACACCATTCAACTTTGCTTTGGGCCCTTCCAATGCCAGGGGGTCTCACTGCCTCACAGGCAGCTCGTTTCTCTCCTGGACACTTTCATGTTATAAAGTGCTTTCGTAGGTGAATGAAATAACAACAAGGACAATAACGGCAGCGACTACAGAGAGTGCCAGGCCTGTCCGAAGGACATTTACATGGTTATTTCACGAGAATCCTCATAACCCCACAGATGGGAACTGTCTTTCCTCATGCACAGGTAAGGAACCTCAGGTGCAGGGAGAGCAAACCCTTGTCCAGGCCACACAGCCAATAGGTGATCCCCCCTGGGAACTCTACGCCATCGGTGCTTGCTCTGCCCTCTGAGCCTCACAGAGTTGGGGTCCTTTTTTCTTCAGAATGACAGCTTGCCTTTGAGGCTTGGTAGCCAATGAGCTGCTCAAGGTGGAGGCGATACCTGATTCCACTCCCTCCCTGTCCCTGAGAGGGTGCTAGGTGGGTCAGAAGCTGTAGATGTTCAGGAAACCTGGGTGGCCAGTGAGCAAACAGAGGGCACTGGCCCAGGCACCAGGAGGCCACAGGAGGAGGCCACTCGCGGGTGACCCTGGTGGCAATGCCCTTCCCTGGGCCTTTGTCCTTTTGTTGGTAAAATCAGAGGTTAGACTAAGTGGCCCCTGAGTCCCTCCTGGCCTGGCCTCTGGGATTCCATTCTAAGTTCTCCTGGGGCGGGTTCCCCAGGAGGTAACCTCTCCCTCAGGGGGTTGCGCTGCCATGGCCACGCCTCGCCTCCCAGCCCTGCCAGGGTTAAAATAAACACCTCCTTTCCAACAGGTAAGCCAGTTGGAGAGTGAAGGGTTATGCTGTGAGGTGAGGAGCCTGGTGGGCACAGGCTGGCTCTGGGCTGGCCGGCCTTCCCTGGAGGGCGCCTGGCTGGCATTCACTGGGAGGCCACAGGGCTCCTTTCCCAGCCACGCCCGAGACCTCCCAAAGGCAGGCGGGCTCCCTGGGGCTCGGGCCAAGGTGCCACCTGCAGGCTGCACCTCACAGTCAGGGTCCAGGTGGCCTGGATGTCCCCGTTGCTCCATGTAAGAGCAAGGCAGCCATCAGGCACACATCATAGCCATAGGTTCCAAACAAATGGCCCAATTCCCACCCGAAGCTCCATTTCCCACAAGGGCGAGGGCGGAAGCAGCTACCCAGACCTATCTCCTGCCCCCTTCACGAGCACCCTCTGCTGGCAGTGGCCGTGCTCAGCTCCTGGGGGCCAAGGTCCCTGCATTCCCCCAAGGAACAGCCTGGGAAATCGTGAGTCCTGGCCCAGCTCCCTACACTGACCCATGCCCCACCTTCACAAGCCTGAAACCCAGGGTTGGGCCAGATGTCCCGGGGACGCTGCACCGCCTCTGGGTCTCACCCCGACCTCAGAATCTCTGCAGGTGGGCCCAGCTGCCAGGTCCCCAGGTCAGTCCTAATACAGGCAACCTCGTGCCCCGCGTCTGACAACCAGAGGCAGAGGCGCGGTTTCCGTAAAGCCCGAGCCTCCCCAGGACTGAGACCCCAGAGGAGGGGGGACAGGAAGTAATCATGCAGGTGAAAGGAACCAGGGAGCCCTCAGTCCTGGGTAGGTGGGAGGGGCCCTCAGGTGCCCTCCTGGGAGGGAGGTCAGAGAGGAGGAGAGCAGAGAGGGCTGCCTGGGCCCGGCCAGCTGCGCCTGCCGCCTTTAGGTTTGGTCCAGGCACTGCGACCCAACCACCCCAGTCCCCAGACAATCGCATGTGGTGCAGGTGACCTACACCTGCCCCCAGTCAGAGTCCACAGGCCAGCTCCCTGTCCTGGCCACAGGGGTGCTCTGCCCGTGGCCGGCGGCCGGCAGGGTCTGATGAACTCTGTGCTGGTGGCAAGCCCCTGGGCCAGGGCCCGGTGACAGGCACACAGTGGACTGGGCCCTTCCGTGGAAGTGAGGCTGGGGAGGTGGATAGGGGAGAAGGGGAGTGACACATACCTGAGCTGCCAGCGCTCTCAGAAGCACTCCTGGACATCTTGGGCTGGCCGTGTTTGCCGGCCCGCCCAGACCCCGCGGGAGGGGGGCCTGAGGGAGCAGGGGCACCGTCTCCCCGAATGGTGGTGAGGTCCTGCATGCTGAAGCTCCGGAGTCTCTCCGATAAGGCACCCTGTCCCTGGGCACAACACAGGAGGGACACACGTCAGAGGCCGGACCATGGACCAGGGGCAGTGGTGGGGGAGGCGCGACAAAGCCAACAGGAAGCTCTGCCGGTCAGCGGTCAGCGAGGTGGGAACAGAGACCAGGAGGGACTTGCTGGGAACACTGAGGGTCAAGGTCGGGACTATCCCAGGGCCACTGCGGGGCTCAGCAAGTGCTCCTCTGGCTCCGGCTCCGGCTCCTTCCTCCCCTTCGGCCGCCTCTAGGAGCCGCAGACAGACAACCCAGACCCGGGCTGAGGACGTGGCTGTCGCCTGCCGCTCTGCTCCCAGGGCCTGGCCGCTGCTCAGGTTTATAGACCCAAACCTCTTCTTCGGCTCTCAGTACGCCAGTATTTGGTTAGAAAATCAGAACCTAGTAATATGGGTGTCCCACCCATACTCTTTTCACCGGGAAGGAAATACAGACAGTTCCTCTAATTGTGCGACGGCAGCATTTCTTCTGTCTGCTCACGCCACTGTTTATGAGCACGCTCACTCCCCTGTGGCATCGGAGCTGCATGAAACACCCGAAGGGGATGGAGCAGGAAGGAAACAGGACGTGGAGAAACCCTGCCGGCTGTAACCACTGCGTATTGGGAGGGAGCTGGAGTTCAGCTCAGGGGGAAACTGTTCTTTTGTTCAGAAAGCAAGATCGACCCACTACAGTTCTGAAGGGAAGCTCCTGGCTGCCTGCAGGGGAGAATGGGTGTCCCTGAAAGGGGTCAGCCGGAGGTTCAGGGACAGGGTGGTGCTTTAGGGCCTCTTAGTGCCTCGGGGCTGCAGAGGGACCGTGTTTGGGGGGGAAGGAGAGCTGGGGGGAGGGCCGGGCGGGGAGGCTGGTAGGAGACTGGGTTGTTGAGAATTGGGTTGAGATTTGCATGAAAGGTGACAGGCAAGTAACCACAAAGCAAAGGAATGAACTCTGGGCTTCAAAAATACTGGGGGTGTCAGCCTTCCCACAGGTACGTGGGACGGTGGGGGATGGGAAAGGGACATGCATTTGCATATGAGGGAAGAGTGGCTCTGGAGGGGTGAAGGGCTTGGGGACAATAAAGCACTGCAAACAACAGAAAGGACACATCAGCACAAAGTCAATGAGCCGGCTAACAGGAGTGCCCTGGGCTGGGGCTGTGTG